ACTACTGGTACTTCCTCCTGCACAACTCCTATTAGGCAATTTACTTGAGTCCTTTTCGGCACATGTCGAGATACATACTTGATCCTTCGCCCTTCTGGGGTGGTAAGCAAAATTGACTTACTAGAACATTTAATGTTCCCTTCATACTTTGATAACCAATCCATGCCTAATATCACATCCAATCCTTGAGATTCCAATACTATTAGGTCTGAGGGAAATACGTAGTTACCAATCCTTAATGGTAACCGGTCACACCATAGACTAGCCATATACTCTGCTCCCGACGAGGTTACTAACATGGGTGACCTAAGGGCTTGGGTTGGTAGTTTATACTTATCCAAAAATCCCCTTGATATGTATGAATGTGATGCACCAGTATCAAAAAGAACGAGTGCGGTAAATGACTTAACCAAAAACTTACCTATTACTGCATCGGGCTGGGCTTCAACCTCCTCCACATTTACGTGGTTCACCTGTCCCCTGTTGAAAGGGTTCGGCTTCTTCCCAGAGCTTCCATTGCCATTTCCATTCTGGGCTTCAGGACATTCATTAGCATAATGTCCGGTCTTCTAGCACTTAAAGCAAGTGACTTGGCTCAGGTCTCTCTTGGCTGGGTTTGATGGGTTTGTATGGTTCTAGCCGTTGCTTCCTCCATTCCCATTACCATTCTTGGTGCCATTATGATTGTGTGAGCTACCTCCTCCATGGGTATGCTGAAAATGTCCTCCCGGTCTAGGGGTAAAACATGGCTTGTGCTGAGATCCTGAATTGTACTTCCCTTGTCCATACTTCCTTTTGCGGTTCTCAATTTGCTGCTGCTTCCCTTCAATCATGAGAGCACGGTCTACCAACTCCTGGTAGTTGTTGAAGGTTGCTACCATCAATTGCATGCTCAACTCATCATTTAGTCCTTCCAGAAACTTCTCCTGCTTAGCTGCATCTGTAGCAACGTCATCTGGGGCATAACGTGCTAGCTTACTAAAGTCCTCCACATACTGGCCAACTGTCCTTCCTCCTTGGCGCAAGTTGCGAAACTCTCGCTTCTTCATGGCCATAGCTCCTGCTAAAACATGGGCAGTACGGAAAGCCTGCTGAAACTGGTCCCATGTGACAGTGTCGACAGGGAAAGTGGCTGTGAAATTCTCCCACCATGATGCTGCGGGTCCTTCAAGCTGATATGCGGCAAACTTCACCTTTTCCGCATTTGTGCATCCTGCCGTGGTCAACTCCCTTGCTGTCTTGCGGAGCCAATCATCCGCTACTATCGGCTCGGTGCTACTGGAAAACCTCGGCGGATTCAACCTAAGAAAACGGGCTAAGTGATCGATGGGTGGTGGTGGTGGGGGTGGGTTGTTGTTGTTGTTCCCCTGATTCTGATTCTGGACTAGCAACTGCATCAATGTGTTCTGCTACTGGATCAACTGGGTAAGCTCAGGTGGAAAGGTAAATCCAGGGTCACGTCTCGGAGGCATCTGAGGGTTTAGAAAAGATGAGATTTAAGAATAGAGAGGGGTCTAGAGAGAAAACACTACCCATATGCACATGAGGCAAAAGCAAACAATTCACTTCATTCAATCAAACAAGGGCATACAATCGATCTAACTATCGCAAAAGTGCTCGGACTACTATATTTACATGGTGGACTACTACTACTGTTGGGGTGGTCTACTAGAAATATTCTTCGGTTGCAGACTCCATGATATCTGCTCCAGCTTCATCAACATAGTCATCATCGTTATCATTTGGATCCGAGTCGGTGTCATCGATGATGATGTAGTCTTCCGGGCGAATCTCCTTGGGTTCTTTGTCTTCTTCTACTGGTGTAGGGCCTCCCATGAATATTCCAATCTTCTTGATCAGATCGTCATTCTTCTCCACTAGTACTTCAATTTCCCCTTCATAATCTTCACGTGTAGCCTTGAGTTCTTCCTCCGGTTCCTTGATTCTTGTCTTTGCCTTCTTCAGATCTATCTTATCGGTGCACATCTGGTTCTCCTGACGTCGAATGTGCTGGTTTAACTCCTGAATAAAAGCTGCAATTGATCTATCCTTCCTGGTGCTGATCATCTCCCAGTGCTCATCTCGGCGCCCACAAATCTGGTAGATAGTATCCTTGAGATCATTGCGGTAAACTTCTCCAATGCATCCCATGGCGATGTGAGCTGCCATGCTCTTTCCTAGACTCCATGTTGGTGCATCAAATGAAAACTCTATGGGCTCAGTGACTGGCATGAACGTCCTTCCTGGAACTTGAACTTGAATCATCCATCGCTCTTCTTCAGGTAATGTGGTGTTGTAGGTTCCGGTGAAGCTTGGTACTCCTATGTTCAGATATCTAGTGACTTCCTTCAAATGACGTCCAAAGGGTGTATCTTCATCCGGTTGCGTGAACTTGTTCCTTGCATCCGCCATCCTAAAAGAGTAGAAAATATGAGAGGTCAGAAGAGAAGAGAGTAGTTATCTAGGGCTTTAGCTTACTGGTCGTGTCCTACAGTCAGCATGTGCTCTGATACCATCTTGTAGCGACCAGACCTCAAACGGTCCAATCTCTGTGCTCCGGTGTCATCCCTGGATCAGTAATGCTGACACCACATAGTACTTGAAGGATTTATAACAGAGTAGCAATCACACACTTATTACATCGAGTGTCTCAAAAGATAACTTATTACAATAAAAATGGCGTAAGGCCATCTAATTACGATAACAACAGAAAGCTTGGAAGATAAGTGAGTCCATCAACTCCAACGGCATCACTGAGTATAGAACCATGACCTAAAACGCACCTTACTCGTCGTCTGAAAAGTCTGCAACATGAACGTTGCAGCCCAAAACGGGTCAGCACATGGAATATGCTGGCAATGTAATACATAGAGAGCAATGAAAGAATAAGGCTATACTACATGCATATTTGGCTGGTGGAAAGCTCTATGGTTACAGTTTTGCGTAAAGCCAATTTTTCCCTACTACAAAGGAATAAATTTTATTTAACTATCATGGTAGTTGTTAAACATTGAGAATGGTTGACAGCATTCTCAATCCCAATTAAGCATCATCATTAAAAACCCAACAAAATTAATTAGAGTAACATGATGAGATTCACAGGATAATCCATGAACTAGCTACTCAAGATGTCCATAACCGGGGACACGGCGAACCATGATTAGTTTATACACTCTGCAGTGGTTTGCGCACTTTTCCCCACAAGACTCGATCTCCTCCGTTGGGATTCTCGCACTACATGGTGTTTGAGAAACGGATGACCGAGACACAGTCTTTCAGAAGCGCTAGCACCTTACGAACGGGTAGACCATACCAACCTACATCCCCTACATCTGCTAGTCTACCACTGCAAGAGTTTGCACGACTTAGTCAACTATGCTAGAGCCCATAGTAGCTTGTGGATGCACACGGAAGTTTCTAGTATCAATAATCTCATGATCCCTTTGAGCCTGGGTGGCGGTCCAAAAGAAAAACAAGCAATCGCTGGAATACCCAGGTGCATCAATCCACCCAGATGTGTATTTAAGTTGCCACCTTAGATAAACCATTAAATTATCAATCTCACATCTGTCATGGAATTCACTCAGCCAATCCACGTCTACTAGCATAGCATGGCATAAAAGCAAACGTAGAAGTAACTCCCCAGGGTTTGATAATAAAACAGGTGACACTACAAGAAATATGTCAACTTGTGACCCTATTGGTCACTGAATGGTCACTGTTTTCAATTTGTGACCTTTTTGTGACCAAACACATAAGGTCAAAAGCTGGCGGTCGTAAACTGACTATGGCGACCTTTCTTCTGGAATGGTCATAGACGTTTATGACCAAAATACGTCTATTGTGGCGTTTTGGTCACTAGCAACCTCCCCAGGCCATGTAGGCATCCAGCGTGGCAATCTGATGTGGCACAAGATTCAGCCCGGTCCAATTCGATTTTCTACATGGGCCTAGCCCAACAATTCGGCCTTTTTACTGTATATTTTCTCTAGCTACATGGGTTATTTTTTCTAATAGTTTTGATTTCTACATTGGCCTGACCCAACAATTGGGCCTTTCGTTTTTGGGCCATGGCCTTTTTGGCTCAACAGTTACATTTCTTTTTTTAAGACAGATCCAATAGTCAGATGGGTTTGAGTGGGTCCCAATGGTCAGAATCATGTTCTTCAAATTTTGATTTTCCAGTAAATAAAAACAAATATTTAAATCAGAACTGACTGAAAACAGAAGTAATACTTCAATAACCAAATTTGGCACCTTACAATCAAACATACACCACGTTTATAATCGAACATACTTCACATCAGGTTTACAGCCACCAAGAACACAACTAAATATCAAAATATAACTATCTATCAGAGTATAACTAGATCCAATGAGCTAGAACTCAATGCTTCTTCACTTCTTGGAGCCCATGATGAAACACGAATGAAGTACATCATCTGCAAGTTATCAAACAATATGGTAAGGAGCAAAAAAAGGCAATCTAAAAGCACATTAACTTGTAGGCAGTCTGTGTGCATAAATAAAGTAAAACAAGCAAAATGAGGCATAGAAATCAGTGGATACAAGTAGTTACTATCAGCAGCAAGTAAATACTACTCCAATCACATCAGGTTTACAATCCTATAAATGCGACATTATTATCATGTAAGCATAGAAGGACAAATTAAACATCATTTAGATGTTTGAAACAAAGAACCAGAATTTAACCGTTTGAACAGCAAAAAAATTGTTCCAGTAGATCATATCCGGTTTAAATTAACTCCTTTGACACTAATATTATACAACATCAAAGAAGTATAAATACTGATCAGGTTTAATTAGCAGATAGAAGCCAAATACCAGTAACCGATGAAGAAAAAATCTTGATATACAAAGGTAAGCTCATTATGCATTTTCTTTTTCAATGTGATACACAATAAGCATAAGTAACCACCAAAATCTCTCAACACCGATCATTAACTAGAGACCTCCCGGGAGCCAAAGCCCTAACAGCCATGGCATCGAATAGAAGAGTTGATGTGCAAAGAAAAAGCGACTACCTCTCAGGGGGCGTAGACGGCGGTGATGACCCTGGTGTTGCCCATCTCGAACAGCGCCGACCCGTCAGCCCTGGAGAAGATGTCGACCTCGCCCTTGAGCTGCCGCATTTGCAAGGCAAGGCAGCAAATAGGAAGAATCAGAGGCAGTCGAGCCAGCATGAAGAGGATGAGGCTGCACTGCTATGGACAAGAAGATTTTAGCTAGGTATGATTGTTAAAAGAAATCAACAAGACAGTGTAATAGTAGCAAACAGTATTCAGAGCATCATTACCCAGTCATACTCTCCGTGGACCCTTTCCACTCCATACTCCATGCTTACATACACTCCAGCAACAGCACCTGCAGATTAACAGAAGAAGCATCCGAATGTGTCAGCGAACATAAGAAGAAACGGATGAGTGTTTGACGCCAATGCATTTATATCAGCCAAATAAAACAATAGAGTAATACGCTTCTACTTGGTTACCCCAATATGCGCCCTCCTTGCACATTTTCTTCAGCTGCATAAACGACTAGAATACCATATTAGATTTCTGAATCGGGAAGAACATGTTTGAATGGAGAAGACGGAAACAGGACTCATGCGAACAAGATAGGGGAAAGGAGAGGACCTTCCATGGCCCTGCTCTTGATTACATATTTTTGGCAACTATGCACTGCCTTGATTACATATTTTGTAACCACAGCCCCAAAAAATGTAAGTCATTGACTCACAATCAAGCATACTAAATGGTTTTTTCAAACACATCCTGGCTTTCCCCAAACTGCACTTACTAGTTAAACCAAAGCTATCGGCACAAGATTCTGACAGAAAATGGCCACTCCAAGCCATCCAAATCATAAACAATACACCATGGATACATAATGATTCCTACCGAGATTCAGTTTCAGTTGAGCCTAAAATAGTTTGACAGTCCAAGCGCACACGTTTGGCTTGGGGCATATCTATACTCTAGATAACAAACAATATGACTTCTTATAAATAATAACCAATAGTACTGCCCCCAGACGAGCTGCTTATACACAACGATAAGTCAACTAACAGCTAAAGCAAAGCATAACTTCATAAATATGATCATTTTCAGCATCATCTCCAAGAGGAAGAAAAATTCAAAGAGGCTGCTATATGTACAAATAAACACACTGGCATTTGCCACATAGGGCTAGCAAGCCAGCAATGAACCATGTGCATAATCTACTATAAATAAAGCATCCTTTAAATCTGATTATAGGACACAAGCAAGATCATGATCCTCTATTTCTCTCTCTCTCAACCAAAATCTTGATTCTGCATTATAGTCCGCACAACAATCCTATCGCTCAATATGATTATTTTCAGCAGCATCTCCCAGAGGAAGAAAAATTCGAAGAGGGCGCTATATGTATAGATAAACACATTGGCATTTGCTACACAGGTCTAGCTAGCCAGCAATGAACCATGTGCCTAATCTGCTATAAATAGAGTGTCATTTAAATCTAATTACAGGACACAAGCAAGATCAAGATACTCTCTGTCTATCTCTCTCTCAACCAAAATCTTGATTTCACATTATAGTCTACACAACAATCCTATCACTCCAATCTACGGTACAGGTGCAAGCCATGCCAGAATAAACGAAGCGGGGATCCCAGATCTGTGGCTAGGAGGGGGCGACGGGAGTGACAGGAAGAGCACCTGAAGGACGATGGCAATGACGACGTGGACTGCCGTCGCTCCTCCCGGTGATGGTGACCTCGGGCGGCAGCAGACGGCAGTTCGGCGCCAGGGTGCAGCGGGAGAACTCGACAGATCCGACCTGGAAACCCAAAAGAGCAAGTAAATTCAGCGCGCGAACCGAAGCAAAAGAGCCTCCCTGCATGAAACCGCGAGGCGGGGTTAGAATTAAGCGAGGAGGGGAGGGAGGCGGGGCTTGGCCGACCTGCTTGATGTGGCCCTGCGGGAAGTAGAAGACGAGGTCCCTGACTCGCGGAACAGTGACGAGCGGGCCGACGCAGGCATACCAGAGCTCGTCGTAGAGCGGATCCCCTGCTCGGAAAACCAGCGCCGACAAATGTCAGCGACCAACGAGGAGGAGGATTGCAGCCGCGCTGGCCAGATCCGGAAGGCTGCATACCTGCGGAGGGCCCTGCGGCGGCGCCATGGCGGCGGGCGGCATCTGCTGCTGCTGCTGGCCGCCGGCGTGGCGGGAGGAACCCTAGCCGCTGCCATGGGGATGGAGCTCCTGGTCCAAGCCCTTGTGGATCTGGGAGCCGCCGCCACCACCTGACCTGCTCGTGCGCATGATCTCCATCTTCTCTTCTGGTGAGGTGAGGGGAGGTGAGGGGAGGTGAGGGAGGGGGAGAGGGGGGAGCGCCAGCGGCGAGGTCGGAGGGACATGCGACAGCCAAGATCTGGTGCCGGAGGTGGCGGCGGCAAGGGAGGAGTGTAGCGCTAGGGTTTGCGCGAGAGAGAGGAGGGCTGGGTGGGGTTCGCGCGAGAGAGAAGGGTTGGGTGGGGATTTGCTGCCGTCGGATGGGATGGATCGATGGACCGATGGATGGACTGATGTTTTCCAGGTCATCGATCCAAGCCACTAGCGACTCCACCAATCAAAATTAAGCTTAGGTAGTTTTTTTTGTTTCTCTTATGATTTTCACCCTCTAGTTTAGAGTAAACATTCAACATATTAACCACTTATAGTTTGCTAAAATAAATCAATAGTGTGCACATATGTGTATCTTGGGATAACAAACAATGTTGATTTGGGGAGTTTTCACTTTCATTGCACAAAAGAGCCATTTTCCATATTTTGAGTGCCCCAAATGAGGTTTTTTTGTGAATAACCTACCAAATAATTATTGAAAAATTGGACCAAATTATTTTTCTAAAATACTAGGCCATATTTAATGCACAATCGACCAAATTATTGGGTGTAAAAAGTTTTGATCCACCTCTCGTGAAAAAGACAAATTTTCGCCGTTTCAGCTGGAAGCGGGTCAAATTTGAACTGCGGCTGCCTCATAGTTTGCTATTTATTTTTTACAAAAATCATTTCTAGGTACAAAAGTATCTATTTAATCAGAGAAACACCAAAACAATTCCAAGATTCAACCACTAGCTAGGAACGGTCATTCCCGCCATTTTGACCGCATTTTGAAACGGGCATAAAAAATTAAAAAAAATCAAAAAATTGGAAAACCTCCGCATTGTGTCATCATATGTGACCAAGTTCCCAGGAAAAATAATAAACTTGTAATACAGCAATTTTTAAAAAAAAAGTGTTCTAAGAAATGAGCTATCATGTGTGAAGATTCATGGCTTTCAAGTCAAATGATCAATCTTATGGCCACATTCATTGCCTAGTTTGTTCAAATGATCTCATATTGTGCACAAGGGTGCATATTGGAATGGCAAACAATGTTGCCTAAGGGAGTTTTCATTTTCTTTGTACGAAAAATCAATTTTCCATTTTTCGAGTGCCCAAAAGGAGGTTTTTTGTGAAGGACCTCCCAAATGATTGTTGCAAAATTGGATGAAATCAATTTTCTAAAATACTAGGACATATTTAATGCACAATTTACAAAATGGTTGGGTGTAAAAAGTTTTGATCCACCTCTCGTGAAAAAGACAAATTTCCGCAGATTCAGTCGGAAGCGGGTCAAATTTGAACTACAGCTGCCTCATAGTTTGCTATTTATTTTTTTCCAAAAATCATTTCTAGCTACATGAGTACCTATTTAATCAGAGAAACACCAAAAAAATTTTAAGATTCAACCACTAGCTAGGAACGGTCATTCCCGCCGTTTTGACCGCATTTTGAAACGGGCATAAAAATTTCAAAAAAAATCAAAAAATTGGGAAACCTTCGCATTGTGTCATTATATGTGGCCAAGTTCCCAGGAAAAATAACAAACTTGTAATATGGCAATTATTTTACAAAAGTGTTCTGAAAATCGAGCTATCACGTGTGGAGATCAATGGCTTTCAAGCCAAATGATCAATCTTATGGCCACATTCATGGCATAATTTTTTCAAATGATCTCATATTGTGCACAAGGGTGTATATTGGAATGGCAAACAGTGTTGCCTAAGGAAGTTTTCATTTTCTTTGGACGAAAAAACCATTTTCCATTTTTTGAGTGCCCAACAGGAGGTTTTTTTGTGAAGGACCTCCCAAATAATTGTTGCAAAATTGGACAAAATCATTTTTATAAAATACTAGGCCATATTTAATGCACAATTGACCAAATGGTTGGGTGTAAAATGTTTTGATCCACCTCTCATGAAAAAGACAAATTTCCGACGATTCAGCTGGAAGTGGGTCAAATTTGAACTGTAGCTGCCTTGTAGTTTGCTCTTTATTTTTTTCAAAAATCATTTCTAGATACATAAGTATCTATTTAATCAGAGAAACACCAAAAAAATTCCAAGATTCAACAACTAGCTAGGAACGGTCATTCCCGCCGTTTTGACCACATTTTGAAACGGGCATTAAAAAATAAAAAAATAAAAAAATTGGAAAACCTTCACATTGTGGCATTATATATGACCAAGTTACCAGGAAAAATAATAAACTTGTAATACGGCAATACTTTTAAAAAAGTGTTCTCAGAAATGAGCTATCATGCGTGAAGATTCATGGCTTTCAAGTCAAATGATCAATCCTATTGCCACATTCATGGCATAGTTTGTTCAAATGATCTCATATTGTGCACAAGGGTGCATCTTGGAATGGCAAACAATATTGCCTAAGGAAGTTTTCATTTTTTTGGACAAAAAAACCATTTTCCATTTTTCGAGTGCCCAAAAGGAGGTTTTTTTATGAAGGACCTCCCAAATAATTGTTGCAAAATTGGAACAAATCATTTTTATAAAATACTAGGCCATATTTAATGCACAATTGACAAAATGGTTGGGCGTCAAAAGTTTTGATCCACCTCTGGTGAAAAAGACAAATTCCCGCCGAGCAGGAAGCGGGTCAAATTTGAACTACAGCTGCCTCATAGTTTACTATTTATTTTTTCCAAAAATCATTTATAGTTACATAAGTACCTATTTAATCATAAATACATGGTTTGATGGCGATACGTCGAGGTTTGGGCGGTGGCCAAGGCCCCCAACTCTAGAGCGCGTAAACTCGCATGCCCGCCGCGTGGTCACCGCGTGACCGTGGCGTTGCCATGTGTTTTGGGCAGCCTAGGCATGTCTAGTGGGTTGGGC